CGCTATTCCGTCCATTCCAACCTTCCCCCTTTACCCATGCGCTATTCTATCCATTTCTCCTTACCCTCTGGCACCCTACCCCTACCCAGCTCACACCATACTTACCTGGTGCCCTACCATCCCAGTGCCTTATTCTCTCAGTACCCTACCAACCCGGTACCCTACCCTCCTGGCACCCTACCATCCTGGTACCTTACCCTCCTGTACCTTACCCTTCTGGTTCCGTACCTTCCCGGTGCTGTACCCTACCAGTGCTGTACCATCCCAGTGCCCTACCTTCCTGTACCTTACCCTGCTGGTACCCTACCCGTCCAGTACTGTTCCCTCCTGTACCCTACCCTCCCGGAACCCTACCTCCCGATACCCTAGTCTCCTGGTGCCCTACTCTCCCGGTACCCTACCTTCCTGGCACCCTACCCTCCTGGCACCCTAGTCTCCCACTTACTTTCTGTACTTCCCATTAGGCAGCAGCTGTCAGCGTCCATTGATGATTCTAGTCGTTGACAATAGCTGCCTGCTATGAAAGGGGGCATGGTCTGCCTTACCCTGACGGTTCTGTGCCATGGGAGAACTGTTGAAATAGAAAAATGGCTCCACATGCCTGAAGGAGCCCCAAGCAAAATCTCCTCTTGCAAGAGCGGAGCTCTCAGCTTCATTAGAAAGAAGGTGGGTTGGTATGGGGGTCGGGGGGGTGGGGGTGAATCTGAGTGAGATTGCCGCGCCTCACAAAATCTGACCTTAAGTTTAATTCGTAGAATGAATGGGATAAAAAGTTTTCCGGGCTCTGAGGGAACAGCGGGGTTTATGATTAATTTGTTGTTTCATCACAGATGTGTTCGTCTAAGTGACTTTCCTCTCTGTTCCTTCATCATTCTATGCTTTGTCCATAACCATTGACTTCATCACTATTGCCTACAGTGCCCACCCACCTAAACTTTCATTGTCCTGCTCCTGGTTGTTGTCCTCTGCCCAAATATAGCCAGGGTATGATCTTCAAATGACAAACAACACTGACCCTTGTGGGGATTATACAAAAGCACATTGGTTGGTATCTAATCGGCAATTCCTTTATATATCTGAAAACATTATCAAACACAGAACAAGAAAGAATGTAAAATGCACATTCAGACATGACTGATGTCCTTACCAGTAGCTCATTTATTAAACTTATGTGGGTCGTCACCTGAAAGACACAAGAGAAAAACAGAAATGAATGAACATGTGTCTGTGAAACAGAAGTCCCCATCATTTCAATATCACAACTGCACAACGGTAAATGCAGCTTTCTTCAGAACATTTAAACTTTCAGTTTGGATTTCATTCCCTTGTTACAAATGGAAAGTTCAGATTCATCTAACACAGCACAAATTAGACAATACCCAGAAACTGACTACCAAAGCTTAGCAAATAGCTGACAGAGTGGGGTACAATACTGAGGCTGTGCTCAATGAAATCAGTCCATTATAGAGGCAGATCTCTCAATCATCAGTTTGAATGAAGGGTGGAAATGATGTTGATACACCTATTATTGGCAGCTCCAGCAGGAATGCTGCTTGTCAACATGACTGCCACTTTACCTCAGCAACTTGCCATTCTAATTAAAGGTGTGGGCAGTTTGGAGCAATGCTCATGATAAGGAATCTCTGACCCACAGCAATCTGCAGCAATTTCCACAGCAGCAGTGGTAATGTCACAGATCTAGTTAAAATAAAAACCCATCTGGTTCACTAATGTCCTTTGGGGAAGGAAACTGCCATCCTCACCTGGTCTGGTCTATATGTGACTCCAGACCCACAGCAATGTGGTTGACTCTTAATGATTAGAGATGGGCAATAAATTCTGGCCCAGCTAGCGAATCTCTCATCCCAAGAATGAATAAATAAAGAAGAAATCCAGAATGCCAGGCTAATGTTCTGAGGTTCAAATCCCACTATGGCAGATGGTGAAACTTCAATAAAACGCTGCATTTAAAAGTTGATCTAATGTACTCATTCACAGATTGATGGCTAGGCCAGCATTTCTCACCCATTCCTAATTACTCAGAGGACAGTTAAAAATTTAGTGGGTCTGGACTCACATGTAGGCCTGGCCGGGTAAGGACAGCAGTCTCCTTTCCTAAAGAACATCAATGAACCATGTGGGTTGTTCCTAACGATTGACAACAGTTTTGTGGATTTCATTAGACTCTAATTCCACCACCTACCATGGCAGGACACAAACCCAGAACATTACCTGGGGTTTTGGTCGAATAGTCTAGCGATAATATCATTAGGCCTTCACTTCTTCTCATTTTGTGAGCAGGTCAGGCTAAGCACTGATCGTTGAGGTACTCATTAGTCACAGCCTATCAATGCCTGTTTTTTGCCTGTTAGTCCATCCTCAATCCATACCTGTACATTGCCTTTCATCCCAACACTGAAATAATGTTAACCACGCTCCTGTGAGCGATTTTATCAAAAGCCTTTCAAAAATCTTAGTAGACTATATCCATCAATATCTTTTCTGAATTCTATTCACAGCAAACTCAAAAATGTTAACAGTTACATTCATAAATCCATGCTGGCTATATCTAATCAGATCATTATTATACAATGTCAGTTCATCATGTCCTTTATAATAGATTGAAATGGATTTTCCTTATACTGATATAAGTTTCCCCATTTTCCCTCCTTTCCTAAATAGTGGGTGACATTTGCTACTTTCCAATTCACAGGAATCACTACAGAAGCAGTGGATCTTTGGAAGATAATCACCATTGACTGTCTCTATAGCTGCTGACCTTAACACTCCGGGATGAAGATAACAAGATGTAGGATAGTGGTAGGCCATTCAGCCCTTCGAGTCTGCTCTGCCACTCAATGCAATCATTGCTGATCTTATCATCCTCAAATCCATTTTCCTGCCTTTTTCACCATAATCCTTTGTTTCCTCACTGATTAAAATCTGTCCATCTCAGCCTTGAATATACTTAATGACTGAGCCTCAACAGCCCTCTGCAGTAAACAATTCCACAGATAACCAAGAATATCAGGTCTTAGGGATTTAACAACCATTAATTTCTCCAACACGGCCATCTTATTAATTCTAATTTCCTTCAATTCCTCATTCTCCCTAGTCCCTAGATCTCTAATTCTGGGATGTTATACCTTCCTTATATAGCACCTTCACTGTAATAAAGCAGCCCAAAGTTCTTTGCAGTTGTGTCATTGACCAAAGTTTGACACCAAGCTAGATTTAAAGAAGGACACAGCGATAGGGAGATGATTAAAGGAGGACAGAGCAATAGGGAGATGGTTAAAGGAGGACAGAGCGATAGGGAGATGGTTAAAGGAGGACAGAGCGATAGGGAGATGGTTAAAGGAGGACAGAGCCATAGGGAGATGGTTAAAGGAGGACAGAGCGATAGGGAGATGTTTAAAGGAGGACAGAGCCATAGGGAGATGGGTAAAGGAGGACAGAGCCATAGGGAGATGGAGAGTTTTAAGGGAGGGAATTCCAGTGTTTGGGTCCCAGGCAGCTGAAGGTGTAGCCATCATTGTTAGTGTGTTGGGGATCAGGGATTCATAAAGGACAGAATTAGAGACGCTCAGAAAGCCCTCAGGAAGGGTGGTGTGGGATTGGAGGAAATTACAGGGCATAAAGAAGCAAGCATGAGAATTTTAAAATCAACACTTCGCTTTGGGATCAATTCAGGTTGTGAGCACTGGAGTGATGGTGAACATTTAGATAAAGGCAGAGTTGTACATACCTTCAAATTTACAGCGAGGATAATGAGAGAGCGCAACCAGGACAGTTTTGGAATAGCTGAGGCAACAAAAACATAAGCGAATGTTTCAGCAATAGATGGGTGACAGAGGGGGCAAAGTGAAGCAAAGGTTATGGGATGGGAATGGGTGGTGTGAATGATAGCTGGAGTAGAGTCGTGTGATTTCTGATCTTGTCCCCCCCAGTCCAAGACCAGCAGCTCCACGACACAGTGGATGAAGAGCACAGCAGGTTTATTTCCCAGCGTCTTGGCCAATATTTGTGTGTTGAATTTAGAGTGTATCATGTGTTATATGACTGTATCAATTAGTATCACACAAACAGATTAGCTGGTCATTAACCCTTGTGGTAGTTTACTGGAAATAAATTGCCTGCTGCACTTGCCCCTTTACTACTGTGACTACACTTCACTGACCATAACATAATTTTCAGAGAACCCGTAGTCATAAGAGGTGCTACAGAAATGCAAGTGTGTCTTTTTTAAATGGTTTTGTGCTCTTGTTAGTTGAATGATGACATGGTAAATAGTTTAAGACACAAGGCAGCAATCTTTGATAGTGTGAGATTTTGTGGATTTGCAGAGAGACCACGGAAACATGCAGGTGCTAATGAGTTCCATTTGGATATTTACTGAAAGTCCTGGTCTATCAATCACCCTGACATCTCCTTTCTCTGGTTACTAGCTCTCCTGTCCAGTGTCCTTTCCTTCCTAGATCCAATCTTCACGCTAATTGGAGCTTCTACCATTTCCTTTTCATCTTCATTGTCCTGTAGCAAGCGAACTTTCCAGCTGCAGAGTGACCCAATGCACAGCGAGCTGCAATGATTGTTCAGGTTGAGCATCTTTGCAGCATTGTTCCAGTTTTACCCAAGGATCTGATGCCTATAGTTTGCTGCAAGGCATCTTCTGAGATATGGAATTAGGTTGTGTTGCTTCATTTCCTTCTCCCTACAGAAACCCTGTTGGTCTGTGGTGGATTACTGCATGATTAAAAGGTTGTAACAGATCATCGAACATCAACTGAACTTACACCACACAAACATGATTCTCGTTGGGTTTTTTTGGCTATTTGGGTGTTTCAGCAAATTTTGAGAGTCTGGATTTCTGTAGCCAGGGACTGAAAACGAGTAAGAAAGTAGCAGGAGTGAGCTGTACAATCCTCGAGCCAAGCTGACAGCACATGGTTTCTCCACTTCCCTCGGGCTATTGGGAAAACCACAAACTGCAATGTTTTCAGGTGCTGCTTCCTCCAGAGGGAAAGAGACATTATACTTTACAACCAACAACTGACACACCTCCCCATGTGCCTCTGGGGATAGGAGGAAGGGGTTGTGCAGCCTTTAGGAAGATGATCTTTTTGGTCTATAGACAGTAGATTCCCCCTGCTCCCCATATTCTCCTTTACCATTCTCCTGCTTTGCCCCAAAACTCCCCCCCTTCTTCTTCCCTTTCCCCACTTCCTTCATTTCACACCACCTGGCTCCACCCACATCTTACCATATCTATATCTTTGTCAATATCAGTCATACGATCTTCAACAGTATTTTTGAAGTTCTTCAAATCATTTATCTCCTGCACCATCTCCTCCATCAAAGACATAGCCTGCAACACAGTCAACACAATTAGAAAGACAGAGTTTTCAAACAATATTCCACAGAGTGTGGGTCATGGCATTGACAATCTCAGGTGCAGTAGATTGACAGGTTACGAGGTCCCAGGGTAGTCCTCCCTTCTTCAGCTTGATGGAAACCCTGTGATATGGAGGTGCTGGAGTTGAACTGGAGTGGACAAAGTCAGAATTTACATGGCTGAAAACAAAACATACTGGAGATCACAGCGAGTCAGGCAGCATGCATG